TACTGTGTGGTTAACAGGAAGGCTGCCGAGGTCCCCAGCAAGCCACTTCAGTTTAAAAATTTAGTGCCGGTGTTCTCTGACGAGAACATAGACCCAGTATCTGCGTTTGCGCACAGACGGGATTAACGAGGAAACCGGCATTTATTTACAAAGAATTACTGTAGTTTGTAATTGTTAATTGTGACTGTTAATAATATGCCATCCATGGAATGATGGATGGCAGTAAATGATGGATGGCAGTAAATGATGGATGGCAGTGAATGATGGATGGAATATTATTAACAGTCACACTTAACGATTTAAACAAAATACTTTGTCAATAAATCCCGGTTTCCCCGATAATACTGGCCTGTGCGCAACAAGCGCAGATGCTGAGGTTGGCAAATTCGACTATGGCGGGGTTCTCGACAGAACACTGGTATCTGTGTTTAGTATCGGGGCATTTTCACAAGTACGAGTACTCGTGAAAATGCCCAGTATTGGCAATGACTGGTGCATCCCTACTTAAAAATATTATGTATTTCTGGGACTTGTAGTCTTGCATGGCTGGTGCTATTCTGCATTGCTGCATAATCATTATACAGCAATGCAGAATACCACCAGCTATGCAGGACTACAAGTCCCAGCAATACATAATAATAAAAAACAGCAATGCAGTATACCACCAGCTCCCCCCACTTTCCCCGCGCCCCACTTCCTGGTCCAGACTTACCTTACCTCTCCTGCAGGACTTTCTTCCGTGTCTTGGCGGACAGGGGGTGGGACTAAGAGGAGAGGGTCCACACACAGCAGAATGTGCTGCCTGGCAGTGCCTTGCCCAGTACTGGGCAAGTAACAGTCTCTCCATCCCCGCACAGCCGCCCGTACATGCTGCGGGTGGCAGAGCAGCGGGGAAGTAGCTGCACTATCTCGGGGTGGGCCCTCTTCTTCCTCTCTGGGCCCCCCCCCCCAACAGACGCAATGCCAGGGCCTGGTCGCAATTGCGACCGCTGCAATGCTGGTAGTTCCGCCAGTGGCCTTTTCAGAGCCTCTGCCGCCACAGAAGAATAACCATTTTTTCTTAACTCCTTAGGAAAACATAATATGGGTGGAGACCCATCTGTGGAAGTAAACAAGATCAGAGAGTTTCTGGGAATCAGGAAGGACGTTCGAGAAGATAAACTGGGTATGTGTCATCCTAGCTGTAATGGAATCTGACAAGCATAACTCAGGCCTTTTAATGAGACCCTGTAAATGGAATACACAGAGATGGTTGGGTCTAAATGGCTGCCATCTGACATTACAGGTTCATTAGATTGGTACAACTTTTCAGGACACAATGATTTGTAAGGAAAACAGAAGCACCCAAATCGGAGCCAGATGATCCATAATGCATCCTAAGCAGGACCCTATGACCTGGTGGATATCTGGAGGGCCCAGCTACAACCTACATGCTCCTGTAGTAAACCAGGAATATAACATAATTGTTCAAAGCTGTGCACCTGTCTGTCACTTAACAATGGAGGATGTGCTTTTAGACAGCTGGTATCTGATGGGCTTTCTAATTCAGGACAAAGATCAGCACATGCAGTCTGAAAACTGAGCTAATTTTAGCAATTATTATTATTAATAATGCCTGATCCTGTATTCATTCTATCTATGTAGGCAAATAATTAGTAACTTTTGAGAAAATGCCCTGAATGGACAAAATGTTTAAATATAATTTTTTTTTAATAAAAACCAGTGTTTCTACTGTACGGTCGCACGACTTTTGTATTTCAAGCATGTTGGAAAACCAGCTGAGAATCGTACGATTTTCGGCTGGTTTTTAGCGTGATCGAGAGATAACTGCCGAACGTGCCGGTGTGCGCACGCGCATACTGCTCGTTCAGCATTGCAGTCATCGGAAGCCCGCCCCTCGGGGGCGGGCTTGCGATGATCGCAAGTACGATCTGCCTGTCCAAGATGGGCAGATCGTACGTTTTTTTAATTATATTACAACCCTCGCAAGACAAAATTCTTGCGGGGGGTGTAAAGTGTATGGGCACCTTAAGGGTCATGCTACAGGAGTCTGACAATCGCACCACCCCACAATTACCTTTGATCAGTTGTTGAACTACGAGGGTGAGTCAAAAACTATCCGCACTCTGGCTGTAGAATTTATTTTAATCAACTTTGAGAAAAAACAAATACATAATTTTTCAACATAATCTCCTTGCTTTTTGGTACACTTTGTCCATCTGTCAACAAGCTTTCGTATTCCCTCATTACAAAATGTTTTAGGCTGAACTGCCAGCCACGAATGCACTGCTGTCTTCACTTCTTCATCAGAGGTGAATCTTCGTCCTCGTAGGACTGCTTTCAGGGGACCAAACAGGTGCAAGTCCGATGGAGCAAGATCAGGATTATAGGAAGGATGCTTTAACACCGCAAAATGAAGTTTTGAGAAGAAGAAGGGCATCCGGCGCCTTCTTGATGGCTAACACTTGTGCGACTTTCCTTGAACTTCTCTATCCATTCATACACACTTCTTCGTGACAAAACACTTTCTGCATACTGCACACAAAGTCTTTGATAAATAACGGCACCAGGCACACCCTTGGACCACAAAAAAATGTATCACTGCACACTGCTCTTCTTTCGCGCAAAGCACAAGTGGGGCATCCATTTTTTCTCACACTGCAGTTACAAATGAACTAACATGTTCACACCTGCACTGCAGTGACTGGGGAGCCTTGAACGGAAAGCGCTGATAAGACAACAGACATTTTAATATAACCGGAGTGCTGATAATTTTTGACTCACCGTATCAACAGGCAATTGCTCTATTAGGGTACAAAATATCACTTACTATTACTGGCATTTAGCAACAAATAAGTCATGTTATTCACAGGCATGGAACACTAGAACAAATGTATAGAAAAACACTTAGCTATAACCACTGTGTTAGAGTAGAACTCCAGCCAATCTTTTTTTATTAGATTCATATTGAGTATAGGTTCTGCCAAGTTTTTTTTCCAGTTTGGGTCCCCATCGGGGGAATTACCCTTCACTTACTGTCCCAGAGACATAGCTGAAAGTAATTAAAAATGTCTTCTTTGTGAGGTAAATTCCCCACTGGAAGAGGTGTCCCCACTGGAAGATTTCCCCTCATTTCCTAATCCGGTGACCACTGTAAAATTGTAGATTTTTCCCCATGGCTTTGTGTTTCAGTGGCAATAGTCATTTGACGTATACAGAGAGTGGATCTCCCCAGTGAATAAGACCAGACAGAGAATTAAATCTTTCCACATTTTACCAAAACTAAAAAAAGAAAATGGCCGGGGTTCTGCTTAAACCATTGGCACCCCACTGAGAGTGTTTTCATAATTTGCTGACAAAGTGCAATACAAAATGAATAATGATTTGACAGCCCTTTTAATGAGTTCAGTTTTCCCTTCTCATGCATAGATATTTATGTGTTTGGCTTGGGGGATGATGTCAGCGAGGACGAGATCAATGATATTGCCTCCAAAAAGGATGGAGAGAAGCATGTCTTCAAGATGGAATCTATAGACGATCTAAAGAAGTCCTTTGATAAGATAATCAGTAAGTTTTTCTCTTAATCATCTGGATAATAAAAAGTATAGGAAGGGAATCACTACTTACATTATCATGTTATAAAGCAACAAAAAGTGCCAAAACTACCTATAAGTAGGTACACGAGATCTTTTTATGGTGTAAGTCTGGTAAAAACATATTCAGTACATCTCCACAACACGTGCAGCTTTTCTCAACCTTGTGTCTTTAATCACTTCAGGACCGCCATACACAGGGATCCCAACCTGAAAGAAGCAATTTCAGGGAGTTGTCCCTCTCATTTCAGGGAGGTGCCCTCTCCCCCCCCCCCCCTTCCGCAGAGGGGGGGCTTTGGGGGAGAGCACACCCTTGAAATGATGGCAGATAGCACAGTAAGCAATAGCTTCTTTGCTATCTGCAGGTTTTTTTTTGTTTGTTTTTTGTTAGTATTCTTTTTTTTTCTTTTCTGACATCGGGAGCCGAGGCCCGACCGTCAGTCAGAAGAAAGAAAAAAAAGGCATAGGAATACATAGCTAGATTCCTATTGGCTATTTTTTTTTAGGAAACTAGCTATTGCACCCACCTTCTGCTGCTTTCAATCACCAGAAGAGGACCTGGTAGAAAACTTCAGGTCCCAGTCTGCTGATTGACAGCAGCAGTGGGCGGGTGCATTAGTGGGTAAGCGGAGTCAGGGCAGACGCAGGTCAGTAAATAGCGAGCAGTGCAGTGCAGAATTTGAAGGCAGAAGCTGGATCAAGACAAGCCGGGGTCAAGCTGTGCGGGATAAGAGGCACCAAATCAGCAGACAAGAGGCACAGTAGTGGAACAGTCTGAGGTCAGGGGCAGGAGGAGAGCAGCAGAGTCAGAGGATCAAGCCGAGTCAGATACAGGAGCAAACACGTGCACGCCAATCTGCGTGTGCAGCGTTGCGTGCAAACAGTGGGCATCCTTGTCCGCATGCATGCGCACGATTATGAGCAATGTTGGCATGAAAACGTCTCACACATGCATGCGCAGCAGCTCTCACAGTACTTGTTCTGTTACAGCGTTGCCTATTTTAAGGTTTGACATGTTTGATATCTATTTACCCAACACAACCCCTCCTTTTATATTGTACCAAAAAATGGCTATTATATTCTGTTTGTTAGTGTGAGAAATATAGATTTGATAAACATTTGCGCAAATATTGTGCAACATACAAAATTGCAACTAAAATATTTAAATTCTACAGGGCCTCTGTGTTCAGAAAATATCTAATTGTTGGGAGTTTTAAGCAGTTTTCTAGGCAAAAATTCAGATGTGGGAGCAAAAATTCAGAAATTGCTTTGAATGTGATTTGGTTAATATGTTACAAGTACAATATGTTTTGTTTCTTTAAAAATTCTACATGTGCAGAAAAATACAGTACCTGTTGATCCTGCCAAACATTCAGTGCTCTCCTAACTTTCTGTTGATAGATGACAACTCTGCCCTTGCTGCTCTGAAATCCAAAGCAGTGTTGTCAGCTCTGCCTCTGCTCCCCTGCTGGACTACAGAGCAGCTCCCCCTATGTTATAGATGAGGAGGAGTGTGGCGGTCAGCCATCTTCAGGAAGTTAGGAGTTCACTGGATTTCTAGAAGATCAACAGGTGTTTATCTGTACTTGCAGCATTTGTAAAAAGACAAAGCACTGATGAACATGTTAATTGTACATGTAGTGCAAATACAGGGGGAGGTGCTCTATATGCAAATCTTGACTTACAGCTCAGAAGCCAACCCTCTGAGTGTGATAAATATCACACCTAATAAAAGCTTCAGCTGTAAACACATATTATGATATTAAGGGCATGACTGAAACGTGGATACTGTTTTAAAGAGAGCACTATCCACCAGTACTATAATAGCCCTCCAGTAAATGTATAAAATATGCTCTTCCATCATACAATATTGACAGGTCTATTCACAAAGCTGCCGAAGTATCCAGCCATAGCTGCGGCTGATCCTTCAGCTAGCTTCGGTTGTCGGGAGCCCTTCGGTTCAGTCCAATTGTTTTTTTTTTTAATTATTATTTTGATTTAATTTTTTCTTTCTTTTTAAAAAAATCTTTATTTATTTTTTAATTCTTCCATTTATTCACGGTTTAAAATAATTTTTTTAACTTGTTTTTTTTCCGACTTTTTTTCACTATTTGCTATTCTGCTCGGTACCACAGAGGTACCAAGCAGAATAGCCGAGCCAAATGCATGTGTATATACAGTATGTATATATATGTGAATAGGGGCGAGTGATCTGTCGGGGGGTTCGGCTCAGCCGATCCAGATGTTGAAGAGCATGTTCGGCTGACCGAAGTGCAGCCGAAGGCAGCACTGAAATCAGCCGTACTGAGCCGTATTGAATAGCCGAACGTTGTTCGGCTTCACTACAGTTCGGTTATTCACTCAGCTGCCTTCGTGAATAACCCCCTTAGTGTTATTATAATATTTTCTACGAGCATAATCATACCAGCAGCATTTGCAACATTGTAACCCCCCACAGTAACATTATCTGTCAGTCATCATTACATAATGAAACTATGTACATCTTTGTACCCTTAGCCTCTGTTTTAGCCTGAGCCCCTGCTATATTATTCTCCCTAACTTAGAAGATGACACCATATTTCACTTCACCATTTGCCCATGCACGGTTGCCAGATATCCAGGAAATTACAGATGGTCCACAAAAGAGTGGTCCCAAGAGATAACTGCATAAACTGCTGCAGATGATTAATTATAGCATTTGTTTGTGTGCTGACTGCATTAGTTGTTTTTTCAGGCTTCCCCCCCCCCTCCCCTTTTTCACCTAGTGATCCTACCAGAAATTGTTTTCTGTACTGTACTACAGAACACTTCCCATCTCTGCATCTCCATAACCTAGTTAGGGATAAGGAGGACCAATGACCAGCTCAAGGTGGGCCTTGCTGGGAGGCAACACTAGAGTGTGAGAATTAAAGTTTCTCCCGGGCAGACGCAGCGGGGGATACGACGAGCCGGGGGGGGGGGGGGGAGCCGCTGTGACAGAACGGACCAGCAGTGAGGGGAGAGAGAGGCGCCGGCTGTCAGATCCTGGCCGAGCGTCTCTCTCTCCTCACCGCTCTGCATTAGTTCTGTGACAGCGGCTCCGCCCTCCCCCGCTGCCGTTTCCTTCACTCCTTCTCGGATCCCCACTGGGGAGAGCAGCGGGGATCCAGAGAAGCGGCGGGAGGAGAGGTCATGGCGATCTACCAGTGATCGCTACTCGATCGACTGGTAGATCGCGATCGACCTTGTGGGCACCCCTGATCTAAACCATCTATTCATGAAGAAAATAGCTTTGCTAATCTGTGTTTAGGCCACATTGTTCTTAATATAATGTTTCCTCTTCTCCTTTTTCCTTCTTCGTCTTCTTTTTTCTTTGTTCTCTACTTTATTTTTCTTCTTTTTTTTCTCTACTCTCTTTCTTCGTCTTCTTTCTTTCTTTTTTTTTTTCTTCCTGGATTTTTAGATGAAGCAGAGGCATTTGAGATGTGCGGCCTCTCCAAGGACTACTCAAATGAAGTACAGGAAAAATATCCATGGATTGTTAAACTTACAGTCACTGTAAGTAGGGACCACTAATTTCTGGCACAGACAAGCAATGCCGGGTAACCACAGACATGTTGTGTCAGGCAGGGCCCATGTAAACCTTTTTTTGTCCAGTGATCATTGTTATGAATAGGATAGTATATGTGTAGCGCTCACCCCCGAAGGAGCCACTGTGTTAATCAAATTCTACTTTCCTGCTCCGATGATGACTCGCCCAGAACTGACCCAAGGCTAACAACACACTTTGTGGGTTTCAATTGGCTTTTAAAAAAAATTAAATTCTAAGGAAAATAAAGGAAATTTGTTTAAAGCAACAACAACAACAGGATTAAAACACAACAGATAAAACCGCAACTTAATAACAGTCCTGTTATATGGATGGACTATAGAAGACAAAGTCCCTGGTCACCCTATTGGCCAGTAGTGCTAAACCCAGTCCTGTCAGTGTTTGGGCCTGTCATCCTATGTTTGTAATCCCAAATGGGGAACGGGTGCGCCCAAAGAAAAGGAGTCCAAGGTAATCCCAGAAAAAGTGGCAACACTATCCCAAGGCAAACAGGGAAAGTCAGTGGCCAAGAGGCCTCTCACCCATGTAGTAGGTCTCTGGGTCCCACAAAGACCAGAAAAATTTCCCCCTCTCAGGCCACCGTCCAGCAGCTTTTTCCTGGCGGCCTGTCTCTTTAGGATCAGGAGAAGCAGTCAACTCTCTCACTGGATCACAGCCCCAATCTGTTGGATAACATTGATCATGTGTCCAAAGTAGCCATGATATAGGCATCATTAAGAAGGTGTTATAAGAGGCCACTCACTCTGACCATTTTATTCTTTCAGCGGCCAGGAGGAGTGGAGAACTGTAAAGGATCCGTTATATCCAAGAACTTCATTCTAACTGCTGCTCACTGCTTCCACTTGGAAGACGAACCACACACTGTCAATGTGGACATTGGTGAGTGATGCTACAGAAGCTGCCAGGGTGGTGACATTATGTACAGAATAATTAAAGGAGAACTTCAGTTACAAAGTCTCCTTTTTTGGAAGCTCAATTTGTAGGAAAAAAGTAATCTATATTTTTTGGGGGTTCCTTAGCTCAGAGGATGCTGCAGTTTGCAGCTTAACCAACAATTATAGCAGACACATAAGTCATCTAAAGCACCTCACTACAGTGCCCACCCTGCCCTCAAAATCTGGCCACACATTTTTATGTCTGAGTGTTCAATCTCCTATAAATCCATCAACGAAAACAAATATATAGTTAAAGGTTTGTGGACACCTGACCATCACACCTACAGTATATTAGCTTATTGTATATCCCATTCCAAAACCATGGGCAATAATATAGAGTTAGTACCCCCTGTGCGACTATAATAGGCTCCACCCTTCTGGGAAGACTTTCCACAAGATTCTAGAATATGTCTATGGGAATTTGTGCCCATTCAGCCAAAAGAGCATTTGTGAGGTCAGGTACTGGTGTTGAAAGAGAAGACCTGGCTCACAACCAGCTTTCCAATTCATCTGTAGTGCTCACCCCCGAAGGAGCCGGTGAATGCCCAGTTCATCTGTAGTCTGTGTATGGTATGTTCTTCAGCTGCCCACCCATTTGCACTAACCGCCCTTCTTCTGGTGCCCACAAACTGATAAACTGATGTCCACTCCAGTAGTAAAATGAGAAGTAACGGCTTATTGCACATCTTCACTGGGGAGAGAGGTTATAGGGTTTCTAGGTTTCCAGGGGAAACTGACAAGAGCTCCAGACTCACCAGACCTGGTTGGCATATCAGTGTAGATCTACTTGGGAGGCAGCGGACAGCAACTGATGCAGCAGCTAAGCAGGATGGATACAGATCCCCAAACAGGAAAGACACCGACCATGCTCCTGAAGTCCTCTTAGTTCCAAGGTACTTCAAGAGCCAGCATTGGTACTGGTTCTCTTCCCCTATAAGCATCACAGGCCTCCTCCATGTTGGAGGCCTCAGGGAAACCTTTCCCTCACTCCAGCTTGTGCCCACCCCCAGGCCTCAGGCCTAGCCTAGGGGCCAGGCTGAACAGCACCCAGCCCTATTCCATGGCTGGTTCCGGCTTGTCTGAGCACATGGCAAATCCCTCCAGTATATCTACCCTGTCCCAGCATGTACCACTGGCTGAGAGAGAAACTCAGTCATTGGCTGCTGTACTGTACATACACTACAGTGCCTCTCATTGACTGTCCCACAATATGACAGAGTCACACTCCACCCAGGAGGGTACAGTCAATGCCAGACACCTGGAATTAACCAGATAATTGCCACTTTAAATCCAGCCAGGCTGACTACAGCCCTGACTATCACTAAATGTCTAGTAGCCACATCACTGAAGGTGATGGGGGCTACACATCCAAAAGGTGTCCATTAGAACTAAGGCTACAGCTCTGTGCATAACACTCTAGTTCCTCTGAGACTCAACAAACTATGTCTTTATGGAACTGGCATTGTACACATGGGGAACAGTCAGGAACAGAAAAGGACCTTTCTCCAATTAGTAAAAGTGGTATATCAAGCTAATCACACCCACGGCTATTTGCTAACCTGGGCACCTATTTGGTGGTGGAGGACTTAGGAGAGAGCTTACTTTGGGCAGTTAGAACAGTGCTGTGAAACAGTTATCACTGCAATACCATTGGCTACCACTTGAGGAACAAGATAAACACCAAGATGGCAGCCAAACATGCATATGACGTTGCTCGATGGCGTGTACGTGTGGTGTCATGTGACGTCATGCACTCCGCCTCCAAGATGGTGGCGCATATGCACAGAATGTGCCAATGGCCGATATGGCCGCCTCGCGTTCTGCCGTCTCAATGTGCGGTTTTGGATTTGGAGGCTTGTCGTCTCCAAATCCGAAACAGCATGAAATGTTGTGTCTTTTGACGAAACAAATGAAAATGTTTTTAGTTTTCATTTGTTTCATCCGAAAAAATGTTTTATTCCGTGCACATGTCTAGTAAATGATCTGTCTTCAAATACACTCTCTAAGTAATCTTGTTGGCAGTTAGGTGTTAGTTCCTTCAATTGCCAGGCTTGAAATGTCTTTTCAGATTCTAAATCGTGAATATTTGTCTAACTATTGACCCCATTATAAAAAATATCATCTGAATTAGGAAATATAATCTCACTTTCATATATGTATATTGTTACACAGTAAGGCCTCATTCACACTGCCGCGCATATACGCGCATACATGCGTATTGTACCAAATAAATGGCTCCAAACACATAGCCGCGTATGGAGCCGTATATTTGCGTAGCGTATATATGCACAAAAACAGAATGGAACCGAGATGCGTCCAGGCAGTGTATTTCTGCGTATTTTACACGCATACGCATGTTGGCGCTTGTATACGCGCGTATATGCGTACAGTTCATTAACATTTCCATTAGGAATGATGCATTCTGGGAATGCAAATAGGCTCGTATATACACGCATAGACGCTCGTATATACGCGCATAGACGCGTATATACGCAATATACAATTTTACTTGCGTTGTGTGTGAATGAGGCCTAAATGCCCCAGTGATCAGTAGGATCACTGGGGCCCTTTTTCAGTGCTCAGTGGAAGTAATAAAAGTCACAAGGTCAGTGGTCTGTGGAAGTAATAAATGCCCAGATATCAGTGGTCAGTGGAAGTAATATATGCCCCCGCATCAGCAGGAATAATAAATACTCCAGTATTAGTGATAAGTGGGAGACATGGTGCCCCATCATTTCTTGGCAGTGGGAGGAATGTAGCCCCAACATTGTTTGTCAAAATGGTGCCCCATCACTGAGGGTCAGTAGGAGGAATGCAGCCCCATCATTGGTGAGCAGTGGGAGGAATGTAGCCCAGTCATTGGTAGTCAGTGAGAGGAATGTAGGCCCATCGTGGCCAGTGGTAATACTATGTACAGTATATAATTTCTAGCCAACCTGTGTGTCTAAAAATGTTTTTTCTGTCTGGAATTCTGGAAGAAACCCATGGCTCTTTCTGTAATTTAAAATGTTATGGTGTTTATGGTGTATTAGAACTTGGCCTCAAAGGAACCAGTCAGGAGAGAAATTTAGGTTTTGCTAGTGCTGACTTATTTTTGAAGATACATGCTACAAGGCCATTGTTCTAACTTAGCATACAGAGCAACAATCTTTATATCAGGCATTTGGTCTTCACTGTCTGCATGCTTGTACAACAAGCAATGAAGGTAGGTAAAAGACATTGGCATCAGAACCCGTACATTCACAAACAAGTTAGTAGTGGCAGCTCCTATATTTCTATACTGATGGTGTCAGTTCTGCTGGAAGAAGTCATATTCTCATCAGATGTCCCATGCTTACCCTCTGCAGGAGGAAGTGGAAAGAAAGTCAAAAACCTCTACCGCCATCCAAAATATAACCCCATCGGCAAGAAAGATAAGAATGTTCCTAAGTCCTTTGATTATGATTTGGCTCTTGTCGAACTAACCCAAAAGATTGAGTTTTCTTCAAAAGTCAGGTATCGTCTTTTGTTTGTAGAGAATGAAATGTGTATGTCTATGTAAATCTAAACAATGTTTTTTTCTTATTTGTTTCTTTGTGGTCTGTCGAATATGCTATAGAAAGTGTTTTATTATATCTGTGTGATAGGGGCAAAAAATAGAAAAAAATAGGATTTTTTACTTACCTGCAGTTTCATTTTACAGGGCAGGGCACAGAAGAAGTTGTGAGCCCTTGAAATACGTTGACTTTAACTACTGATTTTTTATCCAGACTTAGAAATATATACTAGACTTACTATATATTGGTGGCACTCTCATCCTTCACACCCTCAAAAGGAGGTTGTCCAGGTACCCCACAATGTGGACACCTTAAGTTCAGAGCAGAGCAAGAACAGGTGCTAACATTTTCGTGAAGACCTGAGGTGCTGTGCATAGGCCAAAGGGAGGAGCAACATACTGGAAGTATTGCTTGCCCACTGTAAACCACAGGTAGTGTTCATGATGCGGGAAAATGTGGATGTGTGAGTAAACATCCTTGAGGTCCACAAACGCTAAGCACTCCCTTTGCTGCAGAGATGTGCTAACAGACCTGGCATATTCCATTTCTGGACCTGAAGGAATTTGTTAAGACTTTTTAGGTCCAAGATGGGGCAAATGCTCCCTGTTGCCTTTAGAAATGTAAACAAGTTTGAGTAAGAAAGCTGGAATCTTCCCACAGAAGGAACGGGAACAATGACCCCCCCCAGGGTAAGCAATTGCTGCAGGGCAGCCTAAAGATCCTTTCACCTTGCCAGAGAGGAGGATTAATTGGAGGTCATGAAACGTGGTGGGAGTAGAGCCTAAAATTCCCAAGCATTTCCAGCAGTTGTTCTAGCCTTCTTATGAGGCGGGAAACTGAGACTGTCTCCCCAGACTTGAAAGATATAGCAGCTGAATTAGTGCCTTCTTGCCCTGAATCTACAGAACCTGAAAAAGCATCTTCCGCTTCCTCCTCCATTTCCCCATCCTTCTCCTTGGGGAAGGATGTACCTTCTAGGGTGGAATCTGAAATGGACCCTACGTTCTGAGGACTCCATAAGGACCAAAATCTTGGCCAGTAAATCAGCCAGTGACCAAAAATTTCTCCTTGCTCATATATGAAGAGAGGGCAACCCCTAAATGGGTAATGGAGGTCTCAGCTGTGGAGGGTGAATCAGAAGGGGCAAATGCATTGCTTAATAACTTTTGGCCCATGTGGGAGGCATTGCTAATCCTCTCAGAGCCGTTGGTAGGCTGTGCGCTGGCAAAACACCCTTGTGTCTGTGAACCACCATTAACAGAGGTGAGTGGGTCCACAATAGGTGTACTCATGACTACGGCAGAGAGGCAGGGGTTATGCCATCTTTGACAAGCACCAAAAGGCAGCAGGGTACCCAGGAGAGTGAGGAGATCGTGCCATGCGGTAGATGGAAGCCAGGTGCCTGTACACAATACTGTGTCCTCAAGATGGTGTCTGACATGCGCAAATCGATCAGTGAGGGCACGCAGGCACAGTGGCACGGAAGACCTCCAGCCAGCCAGGTATGGGTGCCAGATTTTAATAAATGGCTGCCTCACTGTAGATATACGCTGGGGAGAACAATATGCATAGCAGTACAGAGCATGGTTGTGACACAGCATTTAAGACTGTTGTGGCTGGCTCTAAGGGGCTTAGTGCAGTACAGGCTTGTTGGCTGCGACTTTGGCACTCAGTACTTGAACTTACCATGGCCATAAAATGCCAGGGGGGAGCAACGGGCATCCATCCAGTCTTCACCCATTCCAGTGGGCATACACCTCAAGGGGTCTTCAGAGACAGGGTTTTTCTGGCTGAGAACCCACGGGCATACATGTCTAGAGCACCCTGCAGTTGATCTCACACATTGCACTGCGTGCCGAGGTGACCGCTTGCCCAACATCTTCTAATAGCAGGGTCCGGGTACGATCTCCAGGGCTGCCTAAGGAGGCACCGATCTAAAAGTTGCTAGGGAAGGAGCCACAGTGGCTATAGTGCAATAATTTTGTTGACTGGAGTATTTCTATGCAGTAGTAGTAAAATCTTCCTTTAGGAGAGAAGAGAGGTCCAACACCAAGGATAATAGTCAAAAACTGAAGTCTTGCTGCAAGAGTTTATAAGTCCTAACAACTGTGTCCTGTACTGTACAATCAAGAAAGAAATACCTATTGCTCCTGTGAACTGGTAGCTTTCTGTGCACATTTTCATTGATTTTCTATTCTGCTTGGTACCACAGAGGTACCGAGCATAATAGCCGAGCCGAATGCCACTTGGCGGCACTCGGCTATTCACTCACTGCCAGTCAGCCCCTATGTGTATAGGGGTGAACCGCAGTGAGTGTGCTGCCGGACCTTCAGCTCAGCCAATCCAGATGATGGATCGGCTGAGTCGAAGTCCTTCTGCACTTCGCCTCAGCCGAACATGCAGAGCATGTTCGGCTGACCGAAGTGCAGCCGAAGGCAGCCGATGTACGGCTGAAATCATCCGTACTGAGCTGTAGTGAATAGCCGAACGTTGTTCGGCTCACTTCATTTCTGCTGGGTCATTCACTCGGCGGCCTTCGGCAGCTGTGTGAATAACCCCCTAAAAGTCAGGATGTTGGTTGCACACCTTGACATTGTGGTAACATCAGAGCCACAGAGCCATGTGTACACCGCATTGGTGCGTGTTGAAATATGTTGATGCAGTCATACACTGACTGCCTTTAGGCGATCCCTTAAGACTCATCTCTTCAGGGAAGCCTATCCCACCTCAACCTAACCACTGAACAATCACTTTCTCAAACAATCATCCCCGCACAGCTACCTCCTCATGTATCACTTGCCCCTCCCTTTTAGATTGAAAGCCCTCACGGGCATGGCCCTCCTTACCATCTTGTCTTAAATTGTATTGTGACTGTAATGTCTTCCTTATATTGTAAAGCGCTGTGCAAACTATTGGCGCTCTATAAATCCTGTATAATAATAATAATAATAATAATACACTTTATCACGGCGTGTTACAATGTGCGGTAAAAGAGAGAGCAGTAGTGCCTGGTGGTAATACAGGAAGCTCCATGAACAAAGTTCAAATCTTAACTGAACAAACTGAAGAGAGAAGCTGATTGGTTGCTCCAGATTTAGTCTCCTCCAGTTTTGATAAATTCCCCTGTTCCCTCTGTGGCTGATTTCTCAACAGTTGTTGATAAACAGACAGAATGATTGCACTGAGCTGGCAAGAGCTCCCCCTATTGTCTAACACACAAATCTCTATCTCTGATACAATAACACAAATATGGAATAACAAGTGAGGAGATGCTTGCCATATAAGGATTATTATTGCCTGTCATATTGGAAGTTATTTTAAGGTAAATACTGCTATAATAAATTCAATTGTGTGCTATCTAGAAATACTAAAAGAAATATGAAGAAAAACAATTTTTTACAATAAATAGTGAAAATGATGGAAAATGGGCAAATGTTTCCAATAAAAAAAAAAACAAGTGAAGCATTTCAAAATGATTTTCTTTTGACAGGCCTATCTGTCTTCCATGCACATCTGGAACATCCTGGGCATTGAAACAACGGGACAAGGAGGGGCCTTGCAGTGAACAAGGTAGGTTTGAAAAGTGTGATGGAAAAAGAAAATCGTAATCTGCTTATATTTTGCCTTTCCTGGTTCCCCAATCAACATGCTATTAACACTTTGAACTATACCCTTTCCATTTGTATTGCTTACATTTAAAAGGTAGTGGGCATGCTATGCAGCCAGAGCATGCAGAGAAGGTATTTGACTGGCTCACCAAGCCTTCCTCATCTTCCCCCTCCCAGGCACAGAGCAGCTAGCTAAGAGCTGCTTATTTGATAATTTTCCTTCTCCTCATCTACTTCTAATCCCGCCATAGCTCCAGAAACTGGCATGGAGGAGTCAGCTGATTTGATTTAGCAGGCCATGAGTAACTTGTCACAGGAGGATGTGCAAGAATTCATGTTATCCGATACTGAGGAAGGGATCAACAGGAGCTTAGAGGGAGAGTACATCAGGCCGGGAGCAGCAATTGGCTAAAATGTTCCTCCCGCTTCAGCTTAATGCCCAGCTCCAGCAATGAGCAGGGTGGGAATGACAGTGTGGCAGACCATACCTGGGTGCCAGAGATTGTACAGGAGGAAAAAGTGAGGAAAAGACAGAACAGCAGTAAAGCAGGATTTCGTCCAGTGACAATTTGCAGAGGTCTGAAGGGGACAGCCATCCTAATCCACCCTATGTTACTGCCCCATGGGTACAGGCCTCTGCTTCCCCCACGGCCACGCCACATAGCTCAGCAGTCACACATCTATTGCCACAGCAGCATTGTGTTTTGCAGCCCCACATACATGAGGAGAGAGACACATGAATCTGCACCACAAAGACAGCAGCTACTCATTGATACTGGTTGGCCGCAAAGGGCTTGCACTCCTCCCCATTCCCCACTTTTCACCTCCCCTCCCATCCTACAAGACTCTGCATCTGCATCCACTGCAACATCTGCAGCCTCAAGTGAAAGTAGAAAGGAAGTCTGGCAAGGGGTTTGAGGGGCTTACCTTATGGCACATCAGGCGGTGAAGAGAGTATCTGCCGCTCCAGGCAAACGCCTTGTTTGCCTCGCGGCAGATACGCCCCTGGAGACAGCATTGGACCATGCTGAGAACCTTGCTGTAAGTCTCCTAACCTCACCTGACCAGACAGCTGTCTATTGCACAGCTAATGGAGAGGAAGCAAAAATTGTGTCCTAGTCACCCCCATGCGCAGCGTCTCAATGGCAGGTTGGGACAGCTAATGTTTCCATGTTGCAGGACAACATGGTCAGTGGTACGTCCACATGATCACAGACACCTGTATCGGTATCAGTGCCGTACTCGCCCAAATGCTCCGATGCCTAGCCCGATACTTGTCATGCCACGCTGCCCGGCTTCCTGATTGGCCGTAAAGCCGGCTCCATGCTCTCTTATTAGAGAGCATGGAGCGGCTTCCCGCCCAACCAGGAAGTCGGGGAGCGTGTCATAATGCGTTGCCCGGCTTCCTGATTGGTCGGAAGCTGGCCAATCAGGAAGCCAGGTACCGTGTAATGACGCAGCGCCTGGCTTTCTGATTGGTCGGGAAGTCGGCTTCATGCTCCCTCATCACCTCCTGACGAAGGAGCATGGAGCTGGCTTCCCGGGCATGAAGGAAGCCGGGCACCGCGTCATTACACAGCGCCCAGCTTCCTGATTGGCCAGAAAGGCGGCTCCATGCTATTCTGCATTGCTGTATAATGTATAATCGAGATTTGTAGACCTTTATAGCCAGTGCCATTCTGCATTGCTGTATAATGTATTGCTGTGATTTGTAGTCCTCTGTAGTTGTTGGTATTTTACTGTATAACATATTGCTGAGATTTGTAGTCCCTCTACAGCTTGGAGTCGGTGGCAGAACTACCAGGGTCGCAGAGTTTGCAGCTGGGATTGGGCCCTGGCCCTCCACCACTATTCTAAAATTATTATTCTGATTGGTTTTAGAAAAACTGTTTCATGACACTAAAAAAAAGTATCCGTAACTGGTATTGGTATTCGTACTCTATCTGGAAAACATTTTATTGGCGCATCTGGGTCGGAAAGTGTGGGGGACAGGTGATGGAGGCAGGAGGGTTCGGGGGGCAAATCAGCAAAATCTTGCCCAGGTCCCGATTAATATTAGGGACAGCCCTGGGCATTGTATTACTAGTACTGTCAGGTCAGGTGGGTGATATTGTTCCCTGCGTGATATGTGGGAAGTGTACAGGGACAATGAGAGCATACTGGGACTTGTATTTCCATGACTAGTCCCTCATTGTCCCTGTACACTTCTTACATATTACCCGGGGAACTACAAGTCACAGCATGTCCTCATTGTCCATATACCCCCCCCTCCCCCCCCATATATCACTGTTCCCTTGGTGAGATATGTGGGGAGTGTACAGGGACAATGAGAGCATGCTGGGACTTGTATTTCCATGACTAGTCCCTCATTGTCCTTGTACACTTCTTACATATTACCCGGGGAACTACAAGTCCCAGCATGTCCTCATGGTCCCTGTACACCACCCACATATCACCAAGGGAACAGTGATATATGGGGGGGGAGGGGGGGGTATATGGACAATGAGGACATGCTGTGACTTGTAGTTCCCCGGGTAATATGTAAGAAGTGTACAAGGACAATGAGGGACTAGTCATGGAAATACAAGTCCCAGCATGCCCTCATGGTCCCTGTACACCACCCACATATCACACAGGGAGCGACAAGTCTTAGCATGCCCTCATTGTCCCTGTACACCCCCCACATATCACCCAGGGAGCGACAAGTCATAGCATGCCCTCATTGTCCCTGTACACCCCCCACATATCACCCAGGGAGCGACAAGTCATAGCATGCCCTCATTGTCCCTGTACACCCCCCACATATCACCCAGGGAGCGACAAGTCTTAGCATGCCCTCATTGTATCTGTACACCCCCCACATATCACCGGGGTGGGGGCGCACAATTTTGCTCTGCCCCAGGTGCCAATAACTCTGGTTTTGCCACTGTCTAGAAGTATCTGTTTTGTACATTGCCTTTACTAAACATTTCTAAAGGCGCCTTTCTTGTTATTTTGAAGATCTGGGTAAAGTTCCTCTTTAACTCCCATCACCTTTCACACTATTTAATGAGTATATAAATTATAAGAAGGCCCTCTGAAGCCACAACTTCCATAATGCTTGAAAAACTCTCTTGCCTGTGTACTTTTAGTAGCACAATTAGGAAGGGGGAAATAGCAGTTTTCTCTGTAAACTTCCAATTTATACAGAAGTTTTGCTGTTAACTATGAATAACATTTCCCCGTAGAAGTATTGGCTTTAGATACTCAATGTTATCCCACTGGAAATGATACAGACAGCTGAATGGCCACATTTTGTATTTTTTCCCCCTAGAAAAGCTGCTACTCTCTGAAGATCTGGTGAAAGCATTGTTTATTTCGGAAGTAAAGAAAAATGAATTTGACCAGATGGATGTACAGATAAAGCAAGGGAACAAGGTCCGGAGTGCTGCAATCTGTAATCCCACTATCTAGATCTGACTTTAGAATGATCAGTGTTTTTCTACACCGTGCTTGCATCTCGGGGTCATGTCAGTGTTCTGTTGTTTTCCTATAATACATTTTTCAAGAAAAGATTAAACAAACATCTAAGGACTGGTAAACTGGAATCATACATTTTTTTGTTTTAGGGTATAGCTCAGCTGTAAAGTACGCCTGTGATGGGGAAGAATGTACTGTGCTTAGATGAGAGACACCAAAAGGTGCCAGATTCATGTTTTTTTACAGTCAGCATCACATGAGAGCACCACTGCAGTCTCTGAAATATTTTAACCTGCTTAGGTCTAGGGCAGCGATGGCGAACCTACGGTACACATGCCACTGCTGACACGAGGGGTCCTCTCTGCTGGCACGTGAGCTTGCCTCATTGCTGCTATCGGTTATCGGTCAAAGTGACCCATATTACCGATAATAACCATTGTGCAAATTTCAGCTGGTTCTGGAAGAACAGGCCGAAATTTGCACAGTGGGTGCCGCTATCTCACCGGCATCCCTCGATCAGTTGAGTTGTCAGAAGCTGGCAGCCATTGTGCTGCCTGCCCTATTGAGGTTTTTTGACAGTGCCCGCTGTCAGAATAAAGAAACAAAACAGAAAGCAGGGGAATCAGTAGCTTGATTGCTATTAGCTATTTCAAATTGCAATAGCAGGCTGTTGATGTGAATACATTACCTTAAAGATTATCGTTATAAGTAATCCCTTACTTTGTTATATACGGGGAGTTTTTTGGACGCGTGGTGTACACATATATAAATTTTTTTGATTGGAGGAACATTTGGGGGTCCCTCTTTTTTTCACTGCTGCTGTCACGATATATATTGTTTGGGTGTTGTCCAAAAACACAAACAATTATGGTTTTTCACAGCTGGTTGTAGTTGGCCCTCAGACCAAAGGCTCCCGGTTTTCCCGTTTGTATTCCATAGGGGTCTATTCTATAGCCAATAGTAATGTACCAATGCATTTCAATGGGAAACATGTATTTATTTATTTTTCTATTCTGACATCGCTCTGTGTCAGAATAAAGAAAAAAAAAGACACATCAGTGTTTCTCTCCTGGGCAGACGGGAGCTGGAGGCTCACAGAGCGCCCGGGAGAGTTTTTTTTTTACGGCAGCAGAGCCGCCGGACAATAGGAAACTATTGGGCGGAGCTAGCTGTCACTTCTAGCTCCGCACAATCGTTTTCTATTTATTTTTTTTACCTTTTTTAACTCTTTTTCTGTTCTGCTTGGTCCCTCTGAGTGACCGAGCAGAACAGCCGAGCCAAATGCCGCTCAGCGGCATTCGGCTATTCACTCACTGCTGTTCGTCATCTATAAGAATAGGCCGAACAGCAGCGAGTAGCCTGCCGGAGGTTCGGCTTAGCTGATCCAGATGTTGGATCGGCTGAGTCGAACTCCTCCTGCACTTCGGGTCGGCCGGACATGCTGAGCATGTTCGACCGACCCAAAGCCATGTGAAGCAAGCCGATGTACGGCTGAAATCAGCCGTACAAGCCTGAAGTGAATAGCCGAACAGTGTTCCGCTCACTTCACTTCAGGTCGGTCGTTCGCTCGGTTGCTTACGGCAGCTTAGTGAATAGACCCCATAGTGTGCTACGGAAGGACTAACAACAACAGTCGGTTTCTCTGATTTTCTCTCTTTCTGTCCTAATCGACTCATTACTCCTTTACAGAGACTAGGCTGCCTTGCAGATGCCAAGAAAGTAAAAGATTTTAAAGATGTGGCAGATATTAAAGATGTTGTAACTGACAATTTCCTGTGCACCGGAGGAATAGACCCAGAAGTGGATCCCCAGACATGCAAAGGTAATCATTGCTAGGCCATTGTTATAAAGATTTATTTCTTGTGCTTGCATGTTTACCCAACAATTTGCCAGGACGAAACAGTGCCACGTAGCTGACATTGCTAACTTTGACTTAAAGTGCAGTGGTGATGAACTACCAAGAAAAATAGCAGCAAACCCCCATAAATTAGCAATAAACCAAAAAATAGATACGAGTTGGAGCTTTATGGGTACCATTAAATCATCAGATTTTCAAGGCAGCATCATCTAGTTAGAAACTTAGTAGGCAAACACTGGCACCTTCCAACTGATGATAACTTCATTCCTAAATAGGGACAAACCCAAAATAGTCTATAGAACAGGGGCGCCCACAATTTTTCATCTGGAGATCTACTTATCAAATGACGAGCTCAATGAGATCTACCAACGAAAAAACACCTGCATTCAGGGGCGGGTAGGAGCGTGGCAGTGCATTGAAGTCAATGGCACCGCAGGCACGCCCCCAGTGCAATCGCCGCACCAGGAATGCAGGCACACTAGTGCCTGTGTTCCGGTCCAGGGCGATCTGCAAAAATGTTGCATTTTTGCAGATCGCCCTGGACCGGAACGCATGCATTAATGTGCCTGCTTCTCTCCTCTCTCTCTGCTGTCTCTTCTCTCTCTCTGCTGTCTCTTCTCTCACTTTCTCTGCTGTCTCTTCTCTCTCTCTGCTGTCTCTTCTCTCACTTTCTCTGCTGTCTCCTCTCTCTCTGCTGTCTCTTTTCTCACTTTCTCTGCTGTCTCTCTCCTGTCTGTCTTTTCTTACCTCCACTGCAGCAGCTTCCCAAGTCTCCTCTTCTCTCTCCTTCCCGTCTGCGGCATCTGACACATTCAGCCACACGAGCACCGCGGGAGGACAGGACACAGGTCAGTGAGTTGATCGCAATCTACCTAATGGGCACCCCTGCTATAGACAATCACAAACATTAAAAGATCATCTAACCCATAGTGAGGGCTGGATTTACTCTCTCTGCTGCCCCAAGGCCAGGTTACTCAATGCGCCCCCCCCCCCCCCCCCTTCCATGGAGAATGGCAGACCTGCAGGCTGCATGCAAGTGATCTTAGCGATATCACCGAGATCACTTGGACAAAACAAGCGGAGGCTTCCCCGCTGTACATTTAGCTCTGCTTACCCAAAGAAAACAACTACCGTACCCGCCCGGTGCACAGAAATGCATGTGCCAGGCATCAGATAGGAATCCCACACCCCTGCTGCCCCAAGGCTTGGTTGGCCTTGTGGGAAATCCGGCCCTGCCCATAGTCACTACAATAGAACTATGAGTGGGTACACAAATCAAGATACCAGAACTTGAAGGTGTAACTCATGTAATCAATGTCCCAAGATATACCAGGGTCAACAGATTTAACTGCCAAATGGGCGCATTTGGTTCCCCAGACGTTACATTGATTGTCAGACAAAAGAAGTGATATATCTCAATAACTGTACCTTTATTAATGGTGCAGTGGTCAGAGCTTTTATCCTGATCCCTACCTCTCTATTAAGTCATTAACTTAGAACAGGGATATGTATATCGGGTGCCAGGATTGGCCCACAAAGTAGCAAATCATGGATTAGCATATAGGCCTGGTTCTTGCACCTTTTAAAATGAGTCAAAAGGGGAAGCCCCCTTATTTCTATGCTGATGGAATACCTTTAACTGCTAACTCTAATCAAAACTGATATTTTACTTTTGGTGTAGACATGCCTTAAAGAGTGCTAAGTACAGTAACCCATAGCAGCCCATTACAACTTATCTTGGTGTTCATCAGAGTGAATTCTAAATTATTGCTTTCGGTTCATCCAAAATGTATTAATAGGAATGCACATTGATTGTATTTACTATTGGATATGGCTGGTAACGTACCCATTTCACTGTCATTATATTAACACACTCTGCTTACTTATCACCAGTTTATTTATTCTTATTTTTATCTCTTGCAGGAGATTCTGGTGGTCCTCTTATTATAGAACATAAAAAACGTTATATTCAGGTGAGATAACCTAGCTTTTAATTATGATTAGTGGATTGCCAGTGCAGCTTTGCAACATGTATTGCTTAACTTTGCCTCACTTTTAAGCAAACTTTATCTATTGCCCACGCATTGTTTGTTTGTTTTTTGTATTTTATCATTACTTCTTTCATTTTTTTTCTTTCCATCTTCCCTACCTTTCTCCTATCCCTTTCTCTGTTTCTTTTTCCTTCCTTTTCCTTTTCCTCTCATTTTTCCTTTTCCATTCCTTTCCTTTTTCATTTTTTTCCTCCCTTCCGGCCCTCTTTTCTTTCCTCTTCTTCCATTTATTCTCCTGTGCCCTTCTTCTCCTTTTCTCTCATTTCTTTCCGTTCTATTTCTGTCCTCCTCCATATTTCTCCATATTCTCCTCTCCTTTGCTTTCTTCTTTTCTCCTCCTTTCCTCCACTGTCCTTTTTTTCCTTCTCAATTTCTCTCTATTTTTCCCCTTCTCTTTTCCGCTCCTCTCCTTTCTTCTCTCATTTTCTTCCCTATCCTCTCCTTTACATTCCTTTACTATCCATTAGTCTTTCCCATACCTTTCATTTAATATAGAACTATGCTCTATTTTCCTTTTTCTCTTTTTTTCTCCCTTTTTCATTTCTACTTTGCTCTCTTAGGAGATTCTATCAAAACTTTTTGTTCCTCTTTTTCATACCTTTCCCTATGTTTCCTTACATTTCCTTTCCCTTAAATAAGAATTATCATAAAACCTTTTCCTTTATTTTCCTCCCTTTTCCCTTTCCTTTAAAGGAGATCTACAACAAATCTAATAAAAATAACCTTAGTAAAGCTGGTTGTAAAGGGCCTAGTTTCCTAATAACAGCCCTAAGCCTAGTCTGAACCCTTCCCCTAATTCTTGTCCTAGCCTGTGTGCAGACAGGGAACTAATTACTGCCTCTTAGCCTCCTGCATAATTCCTGGTAATAACTAGATGTAAAGGGACAACCTATTTACCAGAATATGCAGAGGCTCAAGGCTGAAGAGGTGGATATGTACCATTGGCACTCAGGGAAATTAACATTTTTATTTACACTTTTCGAAACCAGTGTCCAAAAAATAGTAAACAATAAACATTTATGGTCCAGTGCCTATCAAGGCCGGCACAAGGGTGGTGGGGCAGGAGGAGCAGCTGCCCCGGGTGCAGCTGCTTTATGTACAGGAGGGTTGCTGTGAGCTCGCCAGCACTGCATTCTCCAGCTGCCGGAATAACAGGAGTGATGCTGCTGTCAGTCCATTAATTGAACCAGGTGGAGAATGAAGTGCAGAATGGGGATCGCGATAGCATCAGATGGGAGGATTCTGCTCTCTAATTCCTCTAATAGGAAGAAGGAGGTCTCTGAATGTAAGTATACAAAGGGTAATGAGCAAATCAGCCCCAGGGCTCTCCTCTTCCTCTCAAATCCCCACAGAGCCTCATACCACCCTCAGTGTCCTACCGACGACTGGTACCACAAACACAGCAACACTTTTCCTCCCAATGACACTGAAGCAACAACATTTTTTTTCTCCCACCAACGACATGGCATTTTGTCCTCAGTGACACTGATGCAACATCAATGATACCACTGATGTTGGGGCATTTTTGCCTTTTAGTGATGCGTCAGGGGTGACACTAAAAAGCAAAAATGGGGGGAATTGTTTTCCTTCTGTTTTGCTTTGCAAACTTTTACAGCTATTTGTTTATCGGATCCTTTCAGTAAAACCAAGGAAACTGACCCAGAAGTAGTATTTGATGTACTTTTACTATGCAAAAATAATATGTGCACAAACTACTTTGTTACAGGGAAAACAATACAAAATACAGACTGCTACCATACGAACATACACATGCATGCATTATACCCTTCTCTAGCACGTCCAATGGTTTCTATAGGAGGATACACTAAAAAGTCACTTAGCTTTGGTTGTTGCTGGTCTACAAATTCTGTGTTGAATAGGACTTCATGGCAATTATTAGACATGTGCACTGGCAAAAAATGTGTTCAGTTTCGTTTTGATTCCGATTTTGTGTTATTTCATTTTTTTGGGTTCGGGTGTGAAAGTCTATTTGTTTTTTTCTCCTTCTCTAATGTCACTTTGCTGCAACGAACGAACGAAACGAATAAGAAACGAACCTTCGAACGAACTACCGCTAATGAACGTTTCGGAACGAAACGAATCGCACATGTCTAGCAATTAAGAGTTCTAAGGAAAATGGCTTCTTGTGGTGGCTTAGTGTTGTCCTATGTCCCAGTCACAGTTCCTCAGTGAACTTCTCCTGATGGCTTCTGCCTATCCATCTTTATCCTACCACATCACATGAGGAATCCACGATTGGTCCAAAGAACACAATTATATCTTTCTCATGCCAGTGATTGGATTGCAGCTGAAGTCTCTTTGAAGCTTATAAACAGTAGTCATAATTTTAAGTTCAGCTCTATTCTGTCTCTGAGAACAGTCTTAAATACATTTTATCTTCTCGAGTCTGGCACCGACATTCCCAAAGCACCACCTGTGCATACAGCCAGTTGGCCATTTCCTAGCTTTTCAAAGCGACCATTGATCTCAGGAAGACAACACTGATTTAGCGTAGCTAAATGTGAACTCTTTTAAAGGAGAACTATTGGGTCAGTGCTTTTCCCCATAGTTCTCCCCAGGGTCACAGAAGGACATAAACTAGCGTCCTCCCCTGACCCAAATCTCAGTATACCGCGAGCTACTACTGAGACCGCCGCAGCCGGGACGGATCCCGACATTATGTTCGAGATCCACCCAGCTGCGTGATTGACAGCTGGCTCTGCCTATCTAGAGGCAGAGCCAGCTGTACCCGCCCCCTCCCCCGTACGTTCCGCCAGTCAGCGCTGGAGGATCATAGTGGGGAGGAGAGGGGGGAATCCCTGCCGAGAGCCGTCAATGACAGTCACGGCTCTCTGCATAGATAGATCGAGAAGTGAGCGAGCGACAGTATGTGTTCGCTCACTTCCCGATCTATTGATCCGACGTGTGACAGTTTCATTGTCACATGTCGGCTCGAACTATGAGGATGACTGAAAATCACTCACCTCATAGTTCTCCTTTAATTATACTGTTCCCAGAGAAGATACAACCTTGTTTGATCAACCAGCTGTCTCTACATTATCCCTCTACTGTTATATATCCACATGAGGTACAGAGTGTGCGTTTGTGTCCTTCCGTTGACATCACTGATGCGAGGGCATTTTTCCTTCCACTGATGCCACACACACAGGAGCATTTAAAAAAACAAAAAAAAGCTTTGGCACATTTTTTCCTCACACTGATGCTGGGTCATTTCTTTCTTCATCACTTTGTCACTGAGTGCACTGCTATTAAACCCATATGTTACATGCATTTCGGCATGGTGCAGTATGCTGTGTGTGCTATTAATCATGCCCCCGGCTTCACCCAGGTTGGGGGAGCATTGCACTTTGGCATCTTCCACCTGGGCACTGGATGACCTTGTCCCGACAGTGGTGCCTAGTATGGTAAGGTTAGAGAGGGCAGCACCAATTACAAGTTTCCAGTTGCCATTACTTTTCCTTATTTCTTTTACCTCTTCTGGCCTCCTTGGAGCTTAATTCATCATTAAAACAGTTGGGTGAAGGGGATGCAGGTTTTTTTTTAGAGGACTCACTACATGGTAGTTCAGGAAACATGAAACCATCACTATTTTCTCTTTTGCTGGGTTTCTAGCATTCTAGCCTTAGTTTTTAATGAAACTATCACATGACACAGGAAGCTATTTCACTATAACATATCTAATATTTCCCTCTTTTTTACCACTACAGGTTGGAGTAATAAGCTGGGGAACAGTGAACAGCTGTCAAGGATTAAGAAGACAACGTCCAGTCCCTGCAGAATCTCGGGACTTCCACGCTACTGTTGTACAAGAAAGGGCATGGATGAAAGAGGTTTTGGCAGGAGATCTTATATTCCTGGATTAAACCTTCCATATCTTCTGAACATAGAGGAAGATATAAGACTCGCTGTCGGTTGTGTGACAACTTAACGATATTTCAGCTTTGGATATTTGTCATCACCTTCTTACATTGCTCGCTGACTCAGGTGGTGACTCTGGGCCTGAGCTCCTCCCTTGGGGAGCTCTTGCTCACCTTGTTGGATTTTTTGAATCATTCTACATTATCCAGATTGCATTAGGAGGAGCGAGGATCCATAATAGCATTAGACGGGGAGGATATATGAAATCACTGGGCCACTTTTTAGCATCCAGCCATGACTGACATACCTGTTTTGAGGGAAATCACCCTTTAAAGTGGACCTATCCTTTACAGAATCTGTTGCTTTAGAAATATTACTCTGAACAATTGTTAAAAAGACTTATTAAGAGAACTGAAATGATTATGTTTCTCTTGAAATGGTTGCACTTTGGCAGCAGGCTGGTTGCGCTGCAGCACTAATCACAGTGCTTCACTCACCTGCTTTCTGGATTCTACAGGCTGACATTTAATTGAGCAGGGGTAGCCAAACTTCGGCCCTCCAGCTGCGGTGGAAGTAAAATCCCATCATGCATTGCAATACTCTAACAGCCACAGATACGACTTCCAGAGGCAGATGCATGATGGGATTTTGAGTTTCACCACAGCTGGAGGGCCATAGTTTGGCTACCCCTGAGTTAGAGAAAGACAGTCAGTGTTTCCCACCACTTCAGATCACACAACCAAGTGCCCAGATATGTGGCAAGCCTGGAAGTGAGACTGGAGGAGTATATAGTTCAGCCCTTACACCACTCTTTATTTATCCATCTCCACAAGGCTGTTAACATAGATTTATATGTCACAATAGGTCCACTTTAGGAGTTAAAAGTACTGTTAAAATCAAGTTTACTTCTGCTGGGATCCCAACCTGCAAAAGTAATTTAATTTAAGTAATGTAACTTAATGTCATCGTCCACATCCGCGCACCCCCTTGAAATTATGGCAGATAGCAAAGAAGCTATTGCTTCCTGTGCTATCTGTTGTTTGTTGTTTTTTGTATTCTGATACCTGCTGCCGTCAGAATAAAAGGAAAACACAGCATAGGAATGAATCTCTACATTGTTATTGGCTATTTCAATTTGCAATAGCCAATAACAGGCTGGCTATTGCACCCGCGCTTTGCTGCTGTCAATCAGCAGAGGAGGACCTGATGGAGAACTTCAGGTTCACCTCTTCTGATTGACAGCAGCAGTGGGCGGGTACAATAGCTAGTCTGCTATTGACTATTGCAAATTGAAATAGCCAATAACAATGCAGCTATTCATTCCTATGCTGTGTTTTTGTTTTTTTTCTTTGACTGATGGCGGCCCTGATGTCAGAAAGAAAAAAAAAACAGACAGCAGGGAAAGGTTTACTCTGCTAGACAGAGCAGATTAAACCTTTCCGGGAGAAAAGGTTTCTCTCCCGGGCAGCCGGGAGCTGCTATCTAATAGCGGGAGACTGGTATAGAATGATGGGGGTAGGCCAAGAGAAAAAATCAGTTTACTTTTGCAGCCTAACCAAGGGGATCCAACACAGGTAGATGGTTCCTCCTACGATCTCCTCCCCTTCACTGCTTCTGTCCTTCCCTTCACTTGCCCCAACTACTTCAGACATGTGGGAACTGTGTGGAAAGGTGAAGTAGGGCTATGCCAGAACAATGTATACTGTTGGCCCTCATCGCATTCCACCCAAAATGGAACTAAGTTTCGTTCTTAAAACTCCCCGACATTTGACATTTTGGAAAGATGCCAACTAGCCTGCTATGATCTCAGTCAAATGTTCACTTTTCTTACAAGTTGTTAGTACAAAACACTGAAAACTATTTTTTCTTTCTTCATGTGTACTTATACAATGAGAGTCAGCGCAATAACTGTTGTAAATATCTCCAGTCAATAAAAAAAAATATATAAGCCTGTTATATATTGCCTTTTATTTTACTTTTGGAAGCTGAAGTCTTATTGCTCATTTAAACCTCCTTTTGACAAATACAATATACAAATAACTCTTACTTGAAAAAAATCCCTTTTGCTCCCTTTTATCTGCCCATCACTTTCAACAACTTCCTAGATTCCCAGCAGTGAGTAAAGGGACTGGAATGCAATTAAAAGAAGATGACTTATATGAGTCTAAGATCACAGGAGCGAGCTCGGAGCGGTGACTACTTTACAACACACACATGGACCATGAGGAACAAAAGTAGCCCCCCTCCAGAAGGAAGGACAGTGTCAGGACCAAGTCAAAGATGATTTGAGGATCTACAGCCGAGTGATACACAAATAAGATATATTTGTGTTAATAGTTAGGGTTCTAGAATGTGATTTTAAGATTTAATTCCTGAGTTTAGTGTCACTTTAACTAAATTGTAGAGGAATATCAATCTGACAAAGAAAAAGAAGAAAAATGCTGATTTGACTTGTTGTTAGTACACTAAATAATACAATGTATGGAAGAGTCATAAGGAAGGATACCTCCTTCCGTAATAGAGAACACTCCAACACCAATTAAACAGATGTAACCATGTCCATCTTATTCAAAGTGTTAATGGTAAACAGGGATATTCCTCCTTCCGTGATAAGACTTCAACATCAACCAAAATGCTCCAGTGAGTGCCGTATGTACCTGTGATTATCCCTCTGTGCTCTCCCAAAACACTCACCAGATCCCAGTGACACTCTGTTACCAGAGAGTTTTATAACGTTGCATCTCCGCTGTCTCGAATCCAGCACGCAAAATCCACCGCTAGTAGTTCTCCTCTCCTCCTCCTCTTTTCCTCCACTCTACACAAGTAATCAATTAGCGAACCATCGCCACCATGATAATCACCGACACATACGGCACTCACTGGAGCATTTTGGTTGCTGGTGCTTATCACGGAAGGAGGAATATTAGTGTTTTACCATTAACACTTTGGATAAGATGGACATGGTTACATCTAGGGATGTCCCGATACCGATACTATCATCGGTATTGGGACCGATACAGGGCATTTTCACATGTACTTGTGAAAATGCCTCGATGCATAGAGCCGATGCGGAATACTGTTGAATACTTATCGCCCAACGCCCAGGACATGTAGTTCGTAATAATCGTCAGGTGTATGGGCACCTTAAGGGAGAGCTGACTGCTAATCACAGCCATTGTTTACATATGTGATCGCTGTGATTTGTCAGGACAATCACATGGTGAAGAAATACTCTGATTGGCTCTGTACCTTTTGCCTGTAATCCTCTGTGTCCAATCACAGGACTGTGCATACACACATGCAAGAGCCCAGTCCCGAGAGGTCGTACAGGTGCATTCACTCGAAGCAATAGGCAACAGTGACAGCGACTGGTCCAAAAAGGGTTAATATACACATTTCCTTACTCGTAACAGGAAATAGTTCACATATGGGTGAACGCTGTGTGAATTTAAGAACCAGTGTACATTCAAAAGTGATAGCTAGGATGAATAGTACAGTAACGCATGTTACTTTGTTCTTCAATTCTTTTTTTTTAATCAATGTTGAACAAATCTCCATTGCCAGAGAAAATACAGGGAATGCGGAAAATGTTGGCGGAAAATGGTCAAATGTTTTCGAATTTCGGAATGAATCAATGATAAATAGACCCCATAGAGTGTTTATATATCTGTTATATATCTGTATATATGTGTTCCATGCACATACATCATGACAAAGGAGGACAAGGTATATGAGTATTTTATTATCATGTGTCAGATTCAGTTCCTTTATTTCTTTCTTTCAAATTAAATGACCTGGTAATGTAATTTATGAAAGGACCTCATTCGTGTTTTTTTATTGAGTACACACAGTAATACTGACATTTTATATCAATATTGTATTAGGAAAATTATAATATAATGTAGAGTTTAGAGTTATTCAGATGTAGGTAGGTATCATCTTTCCCCATTTCCTGTATCCAGGGCATAACGATGAATAGATTGACATAAAAATCCCGACTATGGCTTGGAACCGGCCTCTTGCGTTTATATCCTTGGCAGCTTGTTACTGTACCCCAGCTCGTCACTCCCACCTAGAGAAAATGGAGGCGATGGAATTTTAGTAAAGGACCCAAGAATACATTACATTGTCCTTGGAAGAAGCCAGGTGACTTCACCTTTCCAATCCTCCTTTCTGTTGCTTTTATATCTCGAGCATTAATACTCTACTGTAGCTACTCCGTGACGTACAGTATTGAATTATTTAAAGAAAACCTGGCATGAAAAGAAATTCAGAGACTACCATCGCCGGTCTGTTTCTGGAAATGCCCATCTTTTAGTTTCCGCGTACATGTATTTCTCTCAGAAAAACTTTTTATGATACATTTTTTACATCTCCCTTCCAACACAAATCCAAAACAAAGGGGTTTATTTCACATTTTGGAATAACGGGAAGTGCTATACCAATACCAATACCAGAAAGAAGATGAGACTGTTTTATGCTTCCCGTTCTACTCACAGGAAGTGACTAAGGCTTAGCATTTCTGGCAAGATCAACAGATATTTTCTGTAAATGTTAGCCTGAAGGAAAGAAAACTAATGCAGCCACCATATCTAAGGACTGGTAAGCTGTAATATATCAAATGTTTTATTTTTAGGTTTAGCTATCCTTGAAGTTACTTCCATATCTTTCTGTTGACCTAAATGTCTTGCCTGAAAAATGTCCTTTGTCTTAGCAGAGTTTACTTATTCTTTAACCCCTTCCCGGCCAATGACGGGATTATTCCATCACGGTCTTTCAGGTCATTAACAACCGGTTAAGGAATAATCCCCTCATGTAGTACAATAAGGGGACCAGGTCTCATTGCATTACTGCTGTTGATGGATCCTTCAGGGTCCGAGGCAGACCCTCAACAGCAGATTAGGTGGGCATAGCCCTGTGATCACTGGCGTAGGTAATCTCTGTAAACACAGAGCCGTGACAGCCACACAACCGACTTGCAGCTCATTGGGTTACAATCCGATACAGTATTCTCCTCAGAGATACTTTGTATTTTCCTCAGAAATACTAAGGGGTCTATTCATGAAGCAGCCGAAGGATCTAGCCGTAGCTTTGGCCGATCCTTCGGCTAGCTTCCGCCCCAGGACCCCTTCGGTTCAGTAGA